TTTTTAAGGAGTCAAACAAAGTTTCAAATCAATGTAATAACGGAGAAAATTAAGAACTAAACTACAAGCAAAAACTTTAAATAATATACGCGGCAAACCCTACTTTACTAACATTTAAATTGTCATAATTTTATATTCTCGAACCTATAAACTGTTTTTGTAAATATTTTGTCCATTTTTAATGATCTGTCAAATCGTCGCATTCCAAAGAAAACCACGTAACTCCATATTTTTTCGAAAATGAGGTTTTGGTGCCATCTGTTGCATAACTGTATAATCTTGCAACTATCAAAATATCTAAGTCCAAATGCCAAGCGTTAATATTTAAAAACTTTAAAAGAAATCTACTTATCTCCAGTGGTTTCGAAGCGTCCGCGGAAATTTACGTAAATCCTCATTTTTAACGTAAACAGCAAACGATGCACGTGTTTACAAGTTTGTGATTAGTTTTTGAAATAATTAGTGAGAAAAAAGTGTTATAATAGTACAGTACCTGATTTTATGAAACGGTAAGTATCAACGAAAAGTTGAATTGTTAAGATACAGTGTATTTTTAAGAAAATATGATAAAAATAATTCTCACAAAAATTATTGCTGGAGATACGCAATTTTCGTTTTAGGTAGTGAGGGTCCAAAAGTATGGAGTTAAGCGTATTTCCTCGATTTCTTGCCTATACTGTTATTAGATTATAGGATTGAATGGATTTAAATAAAAAATATTAATAACATTTTTTTTATTTCCAAGACCAGGAATGTCTTCAAGAGCGAGAAGGCTCGTTGCTATGGCTGTAAATAATGTCGTCCCAGAAAACTCAGAAAATATTGCTAAAAATGCCGCTGAAAAAGAGGTGTTTTTGGAAACTATCAATACCCAACTGCACAATGATAATGTGGAATTCTATGGAGTTGATGAGGAAGGTATACTAAGTCCAATACCAGCATCTTCAGATACAACACACGGTAATAATATTGAGAACGTCCAAGGTCTTCTTCTGCCAATATAATATTTCAATGAACAAATTATTAAGGAAGCTATCAATAATATCGGCGATCAAGAAACTGAGGAGGATATTGTCAACAGAATAGAAGATAATTTTGAACGTACTACTGAAGAAGCCAAAAGAAACCAAGGACAGGGAACAGAAGAAGAAATTCTTGAACAAGTCGAAAATTTCAACGGAAAGATTAATGTAAGAACCAAAGAAGAACCTGCTAAATTAAATGACCAAGGAGCTGAAGTTAAAGAAGAAATAAAGCCCATAAGCAAAACAAAATGAACCAAGAAGAATAATGAGGCAAGCACAAGCAGAGAATTAAGAGGGGAAGAAGAAACTGCTGATTCACCTGATCAAGAACAAGAATCTAATGAACCTGCAGAATTACATAACTTAATCAAAAGAAAACGAGCCAGAAAACATGATGTAAACCCTTCCTCTTGGTTCCAAAATATTAATAAAATCAATCGTGAAAAGGGCATAGAATACAGTGGTAAGAAAAAGCTGGAAAATGAATGGAAATATGATATCCCAAAAAACAAAAAGATATTAAAAAACCCTTGTGATTGCAGAATCAAAATAATATCAAAAAAGATTCAATGTAACATTGCCACAAAAGAATACAGACAGACTATTTTTAAATTATTTTGGGAACATATGAACTGGCAAGAAAGAAAAGTTTACATAAAAACTCTTGTTCGGGTTAAACCTGTTAAAAGGAGACGTGGAACAAATGAAAGTAGTAGAAGAAATAGTTGATTTAAGTATTTTTTAAAAGCTGATAATAAGGAAATAAGAGTATGTAAAAAAATGTTTTTAAATACGTTAGTCATGAAAGAATCAACTGTTTTGAACTGGTTAAGGACCGATAAAATCAAAGACGCTAAAAAAAATCCGCAAGATAAAAGGAGAGAAAGTAGAAATCAGCTTTTCAAAAATAGAAATGAAAATCTAAATGAATTTTTTGAATCTCTTCCAAAGGTTGAGTCCCATTATTGTAGGGCATCGACATCAAAGCTTTATCTAGAGCCAATGTGGACCTCAACTAATGAACTTTATAGATTTTATAAAGAAAACTACTGCGTAGAAAACCAAAAAGAATCAGTTTCCAGAACTGTTTTTTTAAATGAATTTTGTAAGAAAAATTACTCGATTTACATCCCAAAAAAAGACCTTTGCGACAAGTGTATTGCGTTCAAAACGAAAAACATAACTAAAGAAGAGTACAATTTACACCAACAAATGAAAAGAGAAGCAAGGGATGCGAAAGAAAAAGACAAAGAAACAGGAGTTGTTGTATTTGCCATGGATCTTTAAGCTGTTCTGCTCTCACCTAAATCAACAGCAAGCTCGATGTACTATAAGACGAAATTGATAGTCCATAACTTTACCTTATTGGACTAAAAACACGAGAAGGTTACTGCTTTTTATGGAACGAGTCAGATGGTGGGCTCACATCAAACGAATTTTCCTCCATATTAGTGTATTTTTTGGAAAATCACGTGATTCCTTTTTTGCCTGATGACAAAAAAGAAATTGTACTTATCAGCGATGGTTGTAGTGGGCAAAATAGAAACTCGACATTGTCAAATAGCCTAGTAAATTTAGCAATGATCCACAAAGTTACCATAATGCAAAAGTATCTCGAAAAAGGACACACCCAAATGGAGGTGGACAACATGCATTCCTGCATAGAGAAAAAAGTTCGCAACAGAGTAATCAACGTACCTGCAGACTATGTACATGCCTGTAGAATCGCAAGGAGAGAAAAACCTTATAAAGTGAAATACCTAACTTTTGACTTTTTTAAAAATACGACGAAGTAAAATTTTATAAATCTATTAGACCAGGAAGAAACACAGTAAATCAGATCCGTGCTCTAAAGTACGAAATGAACGGGAAAATATCATTTAAACTCCGACATCCTGATCCCTGGGAGAATTTAAACCAGAGAAGCCAGTCACTTATCCCTCGCCCAATAAGTGAAATTTAACCACTCTTTAAAGAAAAAAGGTAAATTAAGGCTGATAAATATTAACATCTTTAGATTTTAAAACAAAGCCTACTTTCAGACTATCACGCCTTTTATGATACCCTTGCTTATGAATAAAAAAGTTGTTACTTTATTATTGTTCAACATATTTTTGAAATACTGTTTAAAATGTTTAAAGATTTCTTTTGTTTTATAAATATTACTGTTTATGTAGGTAGCTACTTGACATTGTTTTTCGTGTTTTATTTATATCATTATTTTGTTCTTATTCCTTTTAAGAGATTATGTACTAAAAAGAATATCATCTCACAACTCAGTAAAGTGCGTATCTCCGTTTTTATAAATCCGAAATTAATGTATCTCCAATTACATTTTTATTTCAAAAAATATTTAATTTTTGATGTATTTCTTTATTAACAGCCAACTTCTATTACCTATTATTCAAAATTGGAATTTAAAAACAAAGAATTAAAGTACTTGCGCAGTTTTTACTATTCTGGAGTTATGTAATTTTCTTCTGAAGGTGACGAAATCCTATATTAATGCTTACATTTTCTGTATTTTGTTTTAAAATCCTTATGTTAATGTCTATGTTAATGCTTAAATCACAATCAGGTTTACTAAACGCATCTTAACAAAGAAACAACTACATTCACCCCGACTCTATATTACGTTACTGTTGGATTGGAATACCCCATTCGCTCAGTCCGTGTCCTGATTTGCAGTTTCATTTACTCACTAACTAGTTTCAATGAAAATTGTATCCTACATAGTGTTCCGTGATACATAAAACGATACGCACCATAGCAATAATTTTTTAAAATATCTAACCTACCCTATCAAATGTAATATTTCCTATAACACTTTATTTGTAAAATTATTTAAGTACGGCCCCTAGACAGCATTACGATAGGTATATAAGGTTCTTTCGTTCGTCCACTGGTGTAATAATAATAATAATAATAATAATACTCTCCCTAATTCACCCCCTTACGAGTGAATTTCAACCCCTGAAGTCGACTGAACGACTTGTGTAGGGGAAGGGACGGCCATTATTATTATTTGCCGTGGCGCTCCGGGGCGACTTAAGGATGATTGATGGTGGGATTTGACTTACAGGTGAGGAAAACCCGGAAAACCTCACCCACCATCATCGAGACGATAATGTATGGCGATTTTATAATCTGCATGTCATATCAATAAAAATTGAATTTCTATCAATACGGCACACATCAAATCCTAAACCGAACCATGCAATTTAATTAAAAATCCACATGGTCTGGTCTGGGATTCGAAGCTCAGCAGTCTTGGACTCATAAACTTGCCTATAAATGAATATAAGCGCGTTAGACCGCTACACCATCAACCCGATAGGAATAAACTACACCAGCACACACCATACCTATCATTTGGCCCGATGTAAAATTCACTACACCTTCCTGTCGGCGATGTGGTGTCCACTGGTGGATATTTTCTCCACCAACTATTTAGCAGGATATGTGTATCAGGCACCAAAAAAAAGTAAACTCGGTAAATAAAGGTGGTGTAACTGGTGTAATTTACACTGGTGGACAATGCACCAACAGCGAACGAAAGAACCTATAAAGAACGCAGTGGCACGTCTCAGAAATAGAGGTGGGAAGTTCGAATATTTCTACTGAATTAATTCATTTCATTCATTCACCTAAAAAGATTCGTTCTTCAAGATTCGTTCTCAAGTGATTCATTTTAGCGAACCACGAACGATGTTATTCCGTCGATCCGGTGAAGGAAATCGAATCGAACTTTTACGAATTTGGGTACTACCTAACCTACCTACCTACTAGGTCGTCGAGTAAAATAATTATAACCAGATTTATTTTAAAGTAAAGCGATTTAATGTTTTATATTTCATAAAAAGAAGGCAGCTGAATAGTAGATACATCCTTGTCCGTTAAGATAAATAATAAAAATACAATACATAGTAAGTGTTAACAAATTTTTATCAAAAACCGCATTTAATTCAAAAGTTTCACAAATATTAATGCACAAAAATTTAGAAAAAACACTAATGACTATCTGATAACAAGTATAAAGAAATCGTCAATTGATACTAGCCATTAAAATAATCAGTAGCGGTACGATTTAGTTAAAAAACATTTTGTGGAATGGGTGAATTGACAAACTCTCAATTATTTGAAAAACTTTTGAAGGAAATAAAGGAACAAGGAGATAAAATAAAGGAAAGTATAAAACTTGAAATTAAAACTGAAAATGAAAGAGTTATAACAAAACTAGATAACACATTAGGGAGAATAAATGTATTAGAAAAAAATTGCCTAAAAATCGAAAACAAGTGCTTACAGTTAGACAGATTAAATAGGAAGAACAATGTATTAATTTTTGGTTTAGATGTCCCAAATAACGGAAATTTAATAGACGTTGTCCTACATTTTTTCCATAGAATACTTGAAGTTCAAGTTTCAGTTCTAGAAATAAACAACATTTACAAAATCAACGCCGGAAGAAATGGCGCAATAAATGTCGAGTTCGTCTCTTATTTAAGAAAACAACTGATAATCCGAAATTGCAACAAATTAAAGGATAAGAATATATATATTGTTCAAGATCTCTGTTACGAGGATAGACAAAATCAAAAGATTTTAAAGAAGCACCTTAATATAGCCAGAACAAAAAAATATAATGCAAGAATACAAGGTCATTACCTAGTCGTAAATGACGAGAAGTTTACTGCAGAGCAATTAAGAGACAAAGAAGAAGAACAAGAAGAAGAAGAAGAAGAACAAGAACAAGAACAAGAACAAGAAAAAGTAAATTGCAAATCTACGGAAGAAAAATCACTAAGCGCTCCCCAAACACCATCTCAGATTGGCTATTTTGAAGATAGTATACGTCAATTTGTCTTAACTACACCCTCGTCGACACGACATGAATTTATAAATAAAGTAAGCATAGAAGAAGAGAAAAAATAGAATGCATCGGATTAACCAAAAATAAGGTTGATAATGATCAATTTAAAAATATTGAAGAAATTACAAAAGAAAAAGAATATGAAGAAAAGAAACTAGTGGAAAAAAAGTCTTTTATGTATTTTCTTTTTGTTTCTGAGTAATTCCATTTATTTTTTTATTCCTTTTTTTTTAATATATATATATATATATATATATATACAATTCATAAAAAGTAACGAATTGTTATGATAATTTTCTGTATTTTTAACTAATATATGCATTTTAAATATAAATATTAGTTGCTAGTCATTGGTTGGGGTAAATATATTTTAATTTAGATTAAATATTTTTATGAATAAAAATGGATCCATTCATAAAAGATTATAGCTATAACGACTTTCATACTGTTATATTAAATAATGCGGCCCAATACAATTACGATAATAAAACACAAAACGCATTTACACTTTTTCATCAAAACATCAGAAGCATATCAAAAAATTTAGATAATCTACAGACTACCCTTAATACTTTCACTAGCTGTTTTGATTGCATTGTTCTTACTGAGACAAGAAATGATTTCGATATCAACCTGTGTCATTTAGATGGATACGAAATTATTTTTAATTTCGGTAATATAAATAAATGCGATGGGACAGTTATTTATATAAGGGATCACCTAAATTATAGTTCAGAAATTACTGAAATTAATGGTTGTAAGGCAATTAATATTCGTACTACTAAAGAAAATAAAGATATAGCAATAACAGCATTATATAGACCTCCGTCTACTAACGAATATGATTATGTAGACGAATTATATGATTTTCTTTTAAGACAAAGTAGCAGTGACCTACACCTTATAGTTGGGGACATAAACATAAATCTTCTCTCAAAAGTAAAATTAGTTAGTGACTACCTTAATGTTATGAATGAATTCAATTTTACTTCTGTAATAAATGCGTACACTCGTATTCAAGGCAATTCAAAATCTTGTTTGGATCACATATTTGTTAAACTAAAAACAGGTAATATCTTGAATAATTGTTTTAGTTATGTCCTAGATACGTTAGTAACTGATCACAGGGCAACTATTTTTAATTGGAATGTCTTTGAGGAAAATGAAAAAACATTAACATTTATTTATATAAAAACAATCAACCAAAAAAAACTTAAAACTGATCTTAAATCGTTTGACTGGACTATTTTGTATAATATTCAGGATGCACAAGAAACTGCATCATATTTTTTAAACACCGTAAATGATTTAATATGTAAACATACTGTTAAAGTTAAACAAACTAAAAAAACGATTAAAAGAAAGGAGTGGATAACTAATGGCATAATGAAATCCATAAGCGAAAGGGACAGATTATATAAAAATTATCAAAAAAATTCATTAGATCTAAATTTAAAACGAGAGTTTATTATATATCGAAATAAATTACATAATCTGATTAGTTTAACAAAATTAGAATATCATAAACGACAAATTGAAAAAAATAAATATAACTCAAAAAATCTGTGGAAAACTATAAATAATATGACAAATTCAAATCCTAAACATTCTAATATCAAAGAAATAACGTTATTAAATAATACTAAATCTACTAACAAATTAGAAATTGCCGATACATTAAACACATTTTTTACAAACATTGGACCCGATCTTGCTAAAAATATTCAAAAACCTCCACTTTTTCATTCAAAGAGACGTATTAATAAAAATTCAATTTTTATGAAACCAGCCACTGAAACAGAAATAATTAAATTAATAAATGCATTAAAAAATAATAAGGCTCCCGGTATTGACGAAATAAAATCAGAATTACTTAAAGAAACTAGCACTGAATTAGCTAAACCATTATGTTTTCTAATTAACAAGTTGATTTCAGACGGAATTTGCCCAACTGAATTCAAGGTCGCCATCATAAAGCCTCTTCACAAAAAAGGTGATAAAAGTCGGCCTTCAAACTATAGACCAATTTCACTACTTTGCAAAACTATTTGAAAAAATTATAAAATTTAGGCTTGAATCATTTTTAATTAGTGAAAAAATTTTGTCACCCAACCAGTTTGGTTTTCAAAAATGTATGATGCTGTTGAACATACGAAACCGGCAATTGGAGTATTCTTGGATCTTGCAAAGGCGTTCGATACTGTAGATCACAGTCAGTTATTGGATGCATTGGAGGATTCAGGAATACGTGGAACAGCTCTAAAAATGTTTAAATCTTATCTTCAAAATCGTACACAACATGTAAAAATAGATGATTGCATAAGCTCAGCGCAAGTTGTGAAATGTGGAGTTCCGCAAGGGACAGTGCTAGGGCCGATTCTTTTTATCCTATACTTGAATAACTTACTTACCTTAAGCGTTACTGAAACCATATACAGTTTTGCCGATGATACGGTACTATTTTACACTGCTGAGACTTGGTCTGATCTGAAACAGAAAATAGAAGACGATATGAAAACTATTATTGATTGGTTTAATTTTCATCTTTTAACAATTAATTATGAGAAAACGATGTTTCTACCTGTTTGCAGTTACAAAAATGGAATGCCTACCTACAATGAATTAAAAATATATAATGAACATACCAAAAAAACCATAAAAATTAAACTTACTAAAGATATAAAATACCTTGGTATAACGATAGATTGTCACTTACGATGGGATTACCATATAAATAACGTCACTAAAACATTAAGATCCTTTCTGGGACGATTTAAATATTTGTCGAATGTTCTAGATTTACCATATTTAAAAATGTTATACTATTCACTTGTAGCATCTAGATTATCATATGGAATTTTGGCTTGGGGCGGAACTGTAGATGTATACCTAGAAAAATTACAAACGCTTCAGAAATATTTTTTAAAAATAATATTAGGAAAAGAAAAAACTTACCCTTCTGACCAGCTTTTTCGAGACGCATTAGTGTTGGATATTCGTCAGACATTTTTTCTTAAAACTCTAATTTTTTTATTTAAACACAAACAAAATTTTAATGAAATATCTCATCTCTATACTACCAGAGCTAAGAAAAATAATTATCTTCAAGTTCCAACTACACAAAAAACAATTGGCCAAAGAAACTTTAACTTTTTAGCACCCCGTTTTTATAATTTTTTACCAAAACATTGTAAAAATTCGTACACGTCAAACCATTTTAAGAAATCAGTTAAGTTTTTTCTAACATCTAATAATAGACAATTAATTTCCCACTTTTTTCAATTTGTTAATTAATATGTTATTTTCCTATTGTATTATTTCCCTATTATGTTATTTTACTATTATGTTATTTTACTATTATGTTATTTTACTATTATGTTATTTTACTATTATGTTATTTTACTATTATGTTATTTTACATTATTTATCAAATTGTTGATTTCATATTTATTATTTATATTATTGTATTCTATTATATAGCAAATAAGTTGCAAAAATAATATTACTGTTAATTTATGTGATAACAATATAAATATAAGTTTTAAAGTATCTTGAATCATAAATAATATTAAGACAATACACAGTAATAATTACTACGTTCTAACTTATACCACGGACAGCCCTCCGGCTTTGTGGTACACCAGTTTATTGGTAGGTGATTGTACTGTAAAGAAACAAAAAATATAAATTTAAAATTTATTGTAAAAATTACTGTTCTTACTAATTACTAATAAACATTATTATTATTATTATTAAACAACAATAACACAATTTTTTTTAAAGGCTTAATATATAGCCAAATTAACGCAAAATTATATATTCACGATTCGTCATTTATTGTTTTAATTTTACTTTGATTTAAATTTATTTATCAGACAACACGCATAGTTTACCTAAGCTTAATACACCTCCCGTAAAGTGAGAAAAACATTAAAGACACATACCGCCACCTCCTGTCAGAGTTCTCGTATTATGCCGTAGAACGTAGAACAAAAGCGACCAATTTGCCGATGCCGATGTAAAATACCAAATCTTCGAATATGATTCGAATGAACGAAGCAACCAAACTCGGAACTCGGCATGTTTGATCGATCGCAGAGCCATCGAGCAATTGACTCAAAAAAGATTCGAATCTTTTAAAAACAGGGAATCAATTCATTTGAGTCAGTCCACTGATTCGTTCTTTTTGAACGAATCGTTCGCGAACGACACACCTCTATTACCTACTTTCAGAAAGTCTGTCTTAACAGAGCTTACATTTTCCAATATAAAATTATAATTAACCCTCAACTGGTATTGTTGTTTTACAGTCAAGAAACTTGTATCCTGGGGTGTTTGGGCACCCCCATATAAAAATATATATTTATTTTTTGGTTAGGATTGGTTTATTGATACATTAAAATACAATTTTTATAGAAAAAACTAAATACTATTATTTTGGTTTTAAAATTAACAAAAAAATGTATTCAATGCCAAAAAAAATTAAGTTGTATAAAAAAATTAAAAAAAATTGCGAAACTTTCGAGCGACTTTCTTGTTTGAGATCTCCATTTTTAAGGCCCTTTGTTATTTTCTGTAACAAAAAAAACATGCAATATTGTCATGGTGGAAATTCTGACAAGCAAGATTTTTTTTGTATTATTTATTGGTTTCACACTAATTTACCTTTCATAACACTCCTGGCAAACACATTTGGTAACCGAATGGTCCTTACAAATTTTTTTTTGGCATTCTTGACAACAAGTCTTTACTTTTCTATCCCTTGCCCTGGGACAAAAGCTACACCTCCTCTGTTTTGGTGCAGGTCCTGCCATATCTGTATTCCTTTTAAATTTATGTTTTTAGTTTTGTGGAAAGTGTTGTTATCATCTTTGTCCTCTCCAAATGCTGCTTTATTAGTTCTCCGCCTAGTAATATTGTAAAACTTCTTTGAGATATTTTTTGATCTTTACCACTTTTCAACAAAACATAAGCCTTAACCCTTGAGATGTCGAGCATTGCATAAAACACTGCAAGGGGCCATCTACGAGTTCTACGCTGACAAGATTAAGTAGTGTATTTCTGGCCAAGAGAGTCCACTGAATAATACATTTCAATTATTTCAGGTCTGCCGCTATCGCCAATAGTTCTATCGTGATGCATGGAAGAGACCAAAACAACACTTCTATTTTTTTAGGTACAAATGATACTAAAGTTTTATCTCTTGTAAATCCAAACTCTAAAGATCCTTCTTCCCTTATTTTATTCGGCAAAAACTCTTTTGGAATCTCACTCTTGTTTTTCTAACCGTGCCACCGTCAAGTCAAACCATTTTCGAACAATTTGTTTAGTTCGATATACGATAACCAGTTGTCTCCTGTAATATTTCGATTTGGTTTCAAAACGTTAAGTACACTTAAATGTTCTGCACTATATTCCATTTCTTTGTGTGTAAGTTTTCGCACCATTTAAATTTAGTCACTGTAATTAAGAGTCACGTAAGTGATAACGTGAGGGTGGTTCGATCTTCCACAAAAACTGGGTTAACAAAAAAAAACGTCAACTTCCGTCCACTTAATCAACACTACTTTTCCAAAGATTGCTTGAAACAGAAAGAAAAATTTAAAAATATTTTCTTTTCTATTACAAAAAAACAATTCCCTGGGATATCGTGGAACCCCACGATACCTCTTTAGGGTTAAAACAGGTATCGTTGCAAAAACTCTTTAATATTCTATGGCCTTTAATAAAAACGTACCTATGCAAAATGGACAAAGTGATTTTTAGGAAGAATCACTTCTCTTTTTCAAATTGTATCTAGTTCATGAATACTAACGCAATAATATTTTCATCCTTTTAAAATCAAGTTAATAGTATTGCTTTACTAATTTAAAAATATCCTATTATTTTTATCATGTAAAATGCTTGTCGTAAATAAAAAATCTGATGTGTCCAACACATGACTTTCCTATCTAGTTATTACAGGCTTTTTCCGGTTATTTTGTACAACCTATTTCAGCACCTCCATAAATGTTTAAAGGATAAAATAAATATATACATTTTCCACATACATCTACCTCGAAACATTTTTCTATAGATATTCATTGAAAATGAAAATACTGAAAAATTTAAATTTAGCACTTTTCCTACAATTTTTCCATTACGGTCTATTTTAGAAAAATCATGTATAAACAAAAATTATAGAGATCGATATCGCAAACAACTTTTATTTCAACAATTTTCATAACAATCAGAATTTTGCACATTTTGTCAAATTTCTCGAATACGGACCATTTCAGGAAATTTTGACATAAAGCAAAAATTATAGATAATAATATTAGAAATAACTTTTATTTGAACAATTTTTTTCTCCAAACATAAATAACAGATATTCCATAAAATATAAAAACGGCCTCCTATAAAGTACCCCCCCAGATGTTCCGACTTTCTCCAAAATCTAATCATTTCACGTCAGGCTGAAATAAAACTTAAGTTTAAAATTTAATGTTTTTTTCTTTATCCGTTTTTGAGTTTTCTTCAAATTTCAAAATTTACACATTTTCTCAAATATCTCGAATACGGTCCATTTTAGAGAAATTATGTATATAATAAAAATTATAGAGAATTATATTTTAAACAACTTTTGTTAAAACAATTTTTATAAAAAAAATATTTTTCTACATTTTGTCAAATTTATCGAATACGGACCATGTTAGGAAAATTTTGTATAAAATAAAAATTTTAGATAATAATATAAGAAGTAACTTTTATTTAAAGAATTTTCTTTCCCAAACGTAAATAAGATATATTCCATAAAATATAAAAATGACCACCCATAAAGTACCCCCCCAGATGTTCCGACACTGCCCAAAATCTAATCAGCACATTGGACGCTGGAACAAAGCTTAAGTTTGAAATTTGGTGTTTTTCTGTGTATCGGTTCATGAGTTATGCGACACACAGACACACACAGACATCATCGCAAAAATAGTCAAAACGGATTCAGGGGACCTCAAAACGTAAAAATCCGTCGAAAACTCGAGGTCGAAAAAAATCATGATTCCTATACTTTCCTTATATCTGTATACACATAGGAAAGTAAAAATACACTAGTCTACATTACTACATTATTTTTAAAACAAAGATGCATTTTAATAAAATATTTTTGTGCCATTTCTATTTCTACAAAAAAATATAGACGTATCGGGATTTTTAATATCACTGCAATATATCCGTCGAGTGCACAAAATGCCATCACCTGAGAGTCAGTAGCAGAAGCTTCGACCCAAATTAGGAAAAATAGTTCAGAGAATATTTTTTGTTTACCGCTGTTAGTACGGGTCAAAATATAAGATATGTAACGGCTCCTGATCTCTGAGGAGGTCGTTTTAAACTACCACCTTAAACCACAATTATGTATCTTAAACATTTTATTTGCTGATTGTATATAATGAAAAGAAAATTTAGTTCAATACAATTCGGTGTAGGTACTACTACCTACAGTTTTATTGTCCATGACTATTTGCATTAAGTGTGCAGCGGTTTTGTTCAGATATTTGTGTATAAAGGAATTCAATATTTTCCATTACTTATATACATTTAAAATTAATTATTCCTATTAACAACCAAAAAAATAACCTTAAAATTTCAAAACTTCCTGCATTTCTCAAATATTCTGATGAGAAGACAACACTGCAAGATCGGGACTTCATAAATAATCTATAAAGTGAATCGGTATTTGTAAATACTATAGAATACAAACACAAACCAATTAAACTATCTACGCATTACGAGAGGGAAATATAAATGTTTTAAAAATATTTGCCTTTCGGGTATAACATTCGGCAAATTTGTAACAATGTGTAGTTATTCTGTGGGGTGCTTTTTCGCGGAAATATATATCAATAATTAGTTTTTAATAATAATGTTTTTCCATATTTCTAATTAATTGGATTAATTAATGTTTTCTTGTATAAATAAATTAATTAAAAAATAAATACTATTGATTATTTCTAGGTAATTAGGATTAAAATTTCCACTGCGTTGTTATAGTTCATTCTCATTAGTTGAACGAATACTTCTTACTTTTGTCGCATTTTTTACATCAATTAATGTTTTACCAATTTTTTGCCATTGTACTACTTTTATTGCATATGTTCATTTTTTTTGTACAACTTCGTCTAATATTTTGTATTTAGTTACTTATTTTACATTATTTAAACATTTTATATCATTTTTACTATTGCAGAGTTCATTTAACTTTCAATTTCATTGGACACTCTGATAAATTTTGTCTATCTTTAACTTAATATTAGTGGATAATGGGTACGGTAGTAGACAAAATATTGTATGCAACTCGTGTGTAAAGTCCCTTTTTGTCTCATGTGATTGTCGCACTCGCCTACGGTTCGTGCGACAACATTCACATTCGTCGTTTAACTTTACACATTTGTTGCATAAATAACTATTATCTAAGAGGGCTTGTACTGAAAAACGTAGGGCTTTGGTTTAGATCACAATTATCAGAGAAGGACATGTCTAACTAAATATAGGTTAAATTGTATCAAATTATTCGTATTATGATCTCTAAGCAATATATGATAGTATAATAGAGTCCACCACTCACTTTTAATGAAATTTCTAGCTGGAGTGTCACAAAGCGAATATTTAATTTTCACTTCTATTTTACATTGTTCATTAACTTTAACTTCATTTTCTGGAATGTAATTTAATTCATCAACGAATTGTGACAGAAATTCTTGTATGGGTGGCTTGGTCTCTCCACAGTAAATTGCAGCTACCATTGGTTTTAACTGCGGTATAATCTCAATTTAAAATTAAATTGGCCAAAATTCTATTGGTGAACCTCGAAAAGGTGGTAGTCCATCCACATTGAAAACCAGTGACACTGATTGTGGTGGTGCAGCTATATCAGAAAATGTTGTAAGCAAGCAGTTTTCTATTCCATTGTACCAAAATTATCCATTTCTCATTGTTATAATATTAACTGATTTTGGAGTTTTCAATAGAGTTCTGCTGTCTGATGGTAAATTCATATATTTTGTTTTTAAAATATGCAGTAAGTCATTGAGTGAACTATGGGCTATTTTATGTACATGATAATACGTTATAAGTTGTTCTGATAGTGAAATCTGAGAGATAATAGGTTCATGTTCTTCATCGAAGACATCTGCCATAAAATCTTCAGACGGTGCGAACAATCCGTCGTTATGAATGTTATCTTCATTATCATAACAATTTCTTTTATTTTCAATTGGTTTACAAGACTCACCTTCTAAATTGTTGGCCAAGAAAAGAGGTTCACTGTTTACTTGTACTGACGAAGAAAACTCTTGAGAATTTTTACATTTTTTCTATTCCGACGACAGCTGCTTGTTCACTACAGAGTAATAACGTTTAAGAGTTTTGGTACTATTTATTTGTTGTTTAAGTTGTCCATAAAAAGTTGTCGAATGTCGAAAAGTAATCTTTTTGCGAGGCTTCTTGTTGTTTCCCATTTTACACACAAATGCACTCTACATAAGTCTAAAAACAAAGTAATTTGTAGAAAGAAGGCCACTAATAGGCAACGGTTACTTCATTGTAAATTTTAAAGCCAATAGTAACTTTGAAGTGGATTTTGTTCCACGCAATATGTGGAAATCACTTAAGAGCGTGGCAAGAACTACTACAGTTATACAATCAAGTGCCGCCACTTTAAAGATATATTTATGGTCCCAGAAACGTTACTAAAACTACCAAACCCACTTTAAGATTACTTCCACTTCTAGGTAGTATTTAAGTGATATGATTTGGTGGCCGTAACTACTATTTTCCACATTGTGCAACTTTAAAGTGGTCCAGCTTAGTGGCTATAACGTTTCAAACACCTTCAGAGGCAACTAAATAATATAAAACTTTAAAGTGATTCCCAGTGGTGAAATACACGTGGCTACTGGGAAAATATAAATAGAAGTTAATCTCACTATATAGGGGTACATTTAGTGATTATAACGTAATAGTCACTTAATCGAAGTGGCGATATAAGTTTCTGTCACTATAATGTTACTTGGGTTACATCGGTTTCTCTTTATCACTTTTTATACTTTTCCTATTGGGATCTGAAGATAAGACGCCCTCTAATGTGAACTAAATGTTGTGGCCATTTGAGACTTGACGGTCTGTGTTCTGTCAAATTTTGTTATTTTATAATTTAACAAGTATTTTGTTTGAAATATACATTTCATCTGTTTCCTAAAGTTGGTAAATGAAGGGTAATTTTTATAAAATGCAAGTTGAAATTCTGTGCTTGTGGATGCAAGAAATGCATGGTTACAAAAGTTGAAAATTGAGAAGCCAGTATCAAAGTATTTGAAAGTTTGTTCCCACGCACAGCATTTTAAAGAAGATGATTATTTGCCTAGAGGTAATACAGATTTATTTTTCGATAGAATGATTTTTTTTGTGTTGCATATGTTTCATTAAAAGTGAAAATAAATATTAAAAAAAAATCGCTGTGCCAGTTTTTAAGAAAATATCTGACGATTCTGTTCGATAAATTTCAAAGTCAAATATTGAGAGAAGAAAAAGAAGATCCAAACTAAAAATAGTTCAATCAGTGTTAAATGTGATAGTGAGAATAAATAGGTCTTAGTTGAGAGTGATTGGAAATACCCTTTTTCAAATGTGTTAACATTAGTGTACAAGTGCATACCCCAAAAATTAAAACAATTTCAGATCTATTAAAATCTGACAAAGAGTTGTGTTCATTCTCTGGCATTAATAACTTTAACATACTGTACTAGAAAATACAGTGAAATCAGATGAAGTACTTCGGAAGATAGCCTATTAGGTATTGTAACTCAATAAAGAACGTTTATTAATATGTAAACAGGAAAAATAAAATATTTGATTTTTTTGTTTAATGCTTATACTAATAGCCTTTTCTACCAACGCATTCAACTATCCCATTGCAGAATAATATAAAAAATATATAAAAATACATTATCAATGTACAATCACTCATTACAAAATGTAACTGTGCATAATGACTAGTAAACTTAAAAATAATTATTAAAAAAAGTATTCTCTCAAGTACAAAATCAATCAAAAATTTCAAGCTGTACATTTTCATTTAATGTATTAAAGAAGAGATCTCACAAATTACTTATGATATTAATATAATAATTTATTCACATAATATCCAAACATTCTTCAGTCCTAGAATTTTCACCCCCACCAATATACTACTTAAGATCTATTAAACTTAGCCTTAATTCAGACATTTCACTAAAAATAGAATAAATATATTAATACTTTATTAAAAGATAACATAAATATCTTAAATTAACATATGAATGAAATTAACTCAAAACCAAAATTAATAGTACCAAATTTTAATTTAACCTAAAAACTATTGAAATAAAAGTGTCTAATCACTAAAAATTAACGCCAATAATATGTTTCCTTAAATTAACACAATATAAACTAAATACTTTTTACAAACTCAAAAATGTAAACAATAACAAGTCACAACATTTAGTTTAAAGTACAGACGGCGCTGCGAACTTAATTTTAGATACCAATAGGCCTGATGATGGTAATTTAACCGAAACAAGTCGCCCCTTAGTAATATTATTAATAAAATTGACTTCTGCCTGCGGATCCAAGGGTCCCAGGTTCGAATTCCACCGTTGGCCGGGATTTTTTCATTTAATTTAATTATTTAAAATTAATTCTGATGCTTTGGGTACTAATTAACAGTGCTGTTCCTAAAGTGGCGCTGGGAAACAGTAACAATGCCTACGCAGAACACGAGGCTAATAACCGTAACAGTTTAATTTTTCTTTATCTTACTACATATAACACTAGGGTGCTTCATTTTTAGGCAATATATTTTTTTTCTCTGTGATACCTGAAAATCTAAAAATATATAAAAAATTAAAAATCATGCCGGCGCGCCGGGTAAAAGGTTCTAAATGCAATAGCGACTTAGCTCATTCAAAAATTCGATTTCCTATTTAAATAACATAGGAAAAAAATTGTTTTCTTTCAATTTAGAACCTTTTACCCGACGGTTAAATTTTTTATTTTTTATAAAGTTTCAGATTTTCAGGTAGCACAGAGAAAAAAGTATTGCCTCTCTAATATATTATTTATATACGGCAATGTTTAAATCCTCTAAGTTCAATTATTTCATTTAGTATTCGATTGTTCGTTGTATAATGGAATAAATTAAGCCGTTTAATTGCCTTAACCCGTTCCTACATCACTTCTATTCCAATTAAGAGCTCTTAACCTTGATTCGACTTTACAGAAACTCCTTAAGCGTATTTTAACATCCATTGATTCGACGGGACTCCGACGTTACTTCTCTTCCATTAAAATAATTGGCATAAATCTGGTCTCTCAGTTTTAATGAAGATGTACAGGAGAAAAGGTATACCCATTCCTTGCGGCCAATAAGAAAAATACACACACACACACAGAAAAATAATATACCAGTTTCCTTTTAAATCCAAAGTTACTATGAATATCAAACATCGCTCGTTCAGTACAATGAAGTGGAAATGGGTAGAATGATAACTGAATCCTCTGGTTTTAAAACCCGACAAATCCATTTTTGATTTCTTGAAAACTTTAGATGTCAAGATGAAAGTTAATAATAAGTGGAGAGAAAGGTTTCGCTTAGATTATAGAAAGCAATCTGAGGATTTAAAATCTATAAATGTGACTATAATTGTATTAAAAATATAAATGGGATAATAATAATAATAATAATATTAATAATAATGTTTATTAGCAAGAATAATAATTTAAAATAAAATGTTACTATACAATTTAGTTATACAATACAATTACTAATAAACTAGAGAATCCCAAAGCCAGCGGGCTGTCCGTGATATCAGTTATATTTGAAACCGTAACATATATTATAAAAAAATATAATTATGTAATTATGGCATGTATTTCATAATATTATTATTTAAAATTAATAAATTAAAAATATTGAATTAAAACTAATGGATTAAAACACAATACATAATTAAACACAATAAAAAGACACATAATAAATATTAAAAACAACAAATTGGTAAAAGAACGCATTAATTAGAGAATTGAAAAAAGTGAGAAATTAGTTGTCTATCATTGGATAACAAAAACAACTTAATGCTTTTTTTAAAATGGTTTGATGAGTATGAGTTTTTAAAATAATCTGGTAAAAAGTTGTAGAAACGAGGTACTACATATTTAAAATTTCTTTGTCCAATTGTTTTTTGTGTGTTTGGAACTACAAGATTATTATTACTTGTTTGGCGAAGGTCTAATACAAATTCTTCATGGAAGAGCTGGTCCGAAGGGTAAGTCCTGTTTTTTCCTAATATTATGTTTTAAAAATATTTCTGTAGTATCTGTAGTTTATCCAAATATAGGTCTACAGTTCCGCCCCAAGCTAAAATACCATAGGATAATCTAGACTCTACCTATGCATAGTAGAGCATTTTTAAATAAACTGAATTTAGAACTTTCGACAGATATTTAAATCGCCCAAGAAAGGATCTTAAGTTTTTGGTAACGTTAATTATATGGTGATCCCATCTTAAATGGCTATCTAAAATTACACCAAGATATTTTATATTTTCAGTAAGTTTAATTTTTATGATGGTTTTTGTATGTTCATTATAAATTTCTAAGTCACGGTAATCAGGCATCCCATTACTATAACTGCAAACAGGAAGAAACATAGTTTTTTTATAATTAATTGTTAATAAATGACAATTAAACCAATCAAAAATACTCTTCATGTCGTCCTCTATTTTGTTTTTTAAAACTGACCATGTCTATAAAATAATACTGTATCATCAGCAAAACTATAAATGGATCCAGTAATGTTTAAAGCTAGTAAGTTATTCAAATATAAAATAAAAAGGATGGGACCCAGCACCGTTCCTTGGGGAACACCACATTTCACAACTTGCTCTGAACTTACAAAATTATCTACTTTTACATATTGTGTACGATTATCAAGGTATGACTTGAATAGTTTTAAAGCTGTTCCACGTATTCCTGAATCCTCCAAAGCGTCCAACAACTGTCTATGATCCACAGTATCGAACGCCTTGGCAAGATCCAAGAATACTCCAATTGCCGGTTTGGCATGTGCAACAGCTTTATACATTTTTGAAATTAATGCAGATATAGCATCTTTTGTGGATTTCCCCGTTTGAAAACCAAACTGGTTTGCTGATAAAAATTGTTCGCTAATTAGGAATGATTCAAGTCTGACTTTTATGACTTTTTCGAATAATTTTGCAAAATTATTAATTAATGAAATTGGCCTATAGTTTGAAGATATACTTTTATCACCTTTTTTGTGAATAGGCTTTATGGTTGCGACTTTAAATTCAGATGGAAAAAATCCATTTGAAATCAATTTATTGATCAGAAAACATAGTGGCGCAGCTAGTTCAGTGCAAGTTTCTTTAAATATTTCTGCTTTTATTTCATCACTACCGGGAGCTTTATTATTTTTTAATGAATTGATTAATTGAAGTATTTCTGTTTCATAGACTGGCTTCAGGAAAATTGAATTTTTATTAATTCGTCTCTTTAAACAAAAATGCGGAGGTTTTTGAATTTGTTTAGTAAGATTAGGTCCAATGTTTGTAAAAAATATGTTTAATGTCTCGGCGATCTCTAATTTGTTTGTAGATTTAGTATATAGTCTCTTTCTAGTATTGATTTCATTATGCCACTTGTTTTCCACCCCTTTTTCTCTACGGTTTTTTTCGTTTGTTTTACTTTAATTGTATGTTTATTTATAAAGTCATTTACTGTATTTAAAAAATAAGGTGCAGTTTCTTGAGCATCGGTTATATTATACAAATTAGACCCGTCAAACCATTTTAAATCTGTTTTAAGCTTCTTTGTGTTGATTATTTTTTTGTAATTAAATGTTATACATTTTTCACTGTTTTCAAATACATTCCAGTTAAAAATAGTTGCTCTATGATCAGTTACTAATGTATCAAGAACATACCTAGAGCAATTATTATCTAAGAGGTTACCTGCTTTAAGTTTAACAAATATATGATCTAAACAAGATTTTGAATTTCCTTGAATACGAGTGTATGTATTGATTGTAGAAGCAAAGTTGAATTCATTCATCACATTTAGGTAGTCATTAACCAATTTTTCTTTCGAGAGGAGGTTAATGTTTATGTCTCCAACAATAATGTGGAAGTCACTGTTACTTTGTCTTGTTAAAAAATTATATAATTCATCTACATAATCTTTATCGTTAGTAGACGGTGGTCTATATAATGCTGTTATTGTGATCTCTTTATTTTTTTTAGTAGTTTGAATATTAATTACTTTACACTTATTGACTTTGGTAATTTTTGAAATAAAATTTAGGTAGTCTCTGTTCTATCGCATTTATTTATATCACCAAAATTAAAAATCATTTCGTATCCATCCAGTTGACAGAGGTTCATGTCGAAATCATTTCTTGTTTCAGTAAGAACAATGCAATCAAAACAGCTAGTAAAATTATTCAGGGTAGTCCCTAGGTTTTCCAAATTTTTTGAGATGCTTCTAATGTTTTGGTGAAAAAAAATAAAGGTATTTTGTAATTTGTTATGAGAATTGTACTCGGCTATATTATTTAATACAACAGAAGAAAAATCATTATAGCTATACTCTTCTATAAATGGATCCATTTTTAGTGTCCAACCTGAATAACCACTACTAGTAACACACAAATATAGAGAACCGTTATAATTAAAAACAAATTTTAAAATTTATAATAATCACTATGTATAACATAAAAAAGATAAAATTATTGCAATTTATTTTGTGGTTGTTGAACCAAAGCGGGTCCTTGGTTTATTTACAATTTGTTTTTCAATTTCAATTTCAGCCGCTGTGATTTGTTCCTCTTCATTCATCCTCAATGAATTGGGAGTGGCCGGTGCGCTGTTTAGTTTTTGGGCTTCTATAAGAGGTACTTCTCTCAGATCTTCTAAACTGTAAGAGTTGTTGTCTAACACCAATTTGTTATTTTTAATATACTATTTTGAATATTCTTCCTGTTTACGAAAATGAGCCAAGTAGGGTTTCAGTTTATTGTAAGATTCCCTTTGTTGTGGGGTTAAATCATTAGACAAAGAAATACCAGATCATTTTAAAGTTTTGACGTTTTTGAAAATAAATCTCTTTGTTAAGCTTGTAGCGGAGTCTGCTTTACCTAAAGGGTAAACATTATTTACGTCACTTTCTTTAATATGTACCTTCAGTACTTTGTTGACTTCTCGGCAAAGTTCTTGGACATTTAGTTTTAGTTCCCGATTTGTCTTCTTTATGCCAAAAACAACTACGTTGTTAGCACTGCTTTTTATGTCTAATTCTTCAATTCTGTCTTTTAGACTTAAGTTTTTAGCTTCCAGTTTCTTCACTCTTTGAGTCTGTTCTTCGATTTTTAATAATAAATTAGGTTTTGTTGAATCAATTACTCTTTTCAATTCGTTCTTGGTGTTATTTAACTCATCCAATATTTTTTTAGTTGCTTCACCCAATAATTTTTTTATTGCCGTTTCATTCATTCTAAAAATATACTATAATATAATTCTATTTGGTTGAATATTTATTTAACGCGTGTGGTCTGCTTTAGTCTAATTGTCTAGATTATTTCAGTGATTCGTGTATGTAAAAACCTAACTTTTGTTTTTGTAAATTCACAATAATTTAGATTTATTTTAATTATTATGAGCCTTAACCTCACTTGCTTCTTCCGTAAATATGTAGATTATAGAAATCTATAATCTAAGGGTTATTCGTTATTTTATTATCTTCTTGGAGATTACTAAGGCCATGGAAAAACCAAAATGGTAACAAGGGAATGGGATTATAAGATAGTTACCTACCTAGGATTTGGTATAAAGATAAGATAGGCAATAGCAGTTAGTATCTTGATCAGTTCCCAATATTACTTATTACTTATTACTTTTATAATAAAATATTACCAGAATTCAAGAATTATAGTATTTTTAAATTTAAGACAGCCCTTAAAATACACATTTTTGAAAATCAAATTTAAGTAACAATTTTCCTCACTGCATACATATTGTTGTTTATTGTATCGCTACGTATTTGTACTTCCCTCTTTCATTGGTCGTTGTTTTTGATATTTTTTTTTGCCCTACTTAGTTATGTTGTTTTTTTTTTCATTGGATTCAACCTTCCTGAGACAAGTGCATTTTCATTTGTTTGTTAAATGTTAAAATTACAGTTGTTTATTTATTTGATATAGTTATTATGGTATATACATATTTTGTCTTTGATTGTTTATTTCTGCTCTATTGCTCTATGGTTATATGCAGGTTTACTCGCGGGTTAAGTGGAAGAATATTTTTTGTTGTGTCTAGTGCACAACCAAAAATAAACTTCGCCCGTGTATATATGTATTATTTTATTGTATTTACTTTAAATTAATGGAAATAAAGACGATTATTATTATTATTATTATTATTATTATTATTACCCACCCTGTTTGATTAGCCTTCTATAATATCTATTATAGTAAGAAGTTGTTTAAGATATTGAATTGGTTTTAAAATCCGACAAATTTCTGCAGCGTTGGAATCAAATGCCGACCAATCCGAGTTAGCCAATTGAATCTATATTTTAAAGGCTTAGGTTAACTTGTATACTCTATGGTATTCAAGTGGTGTACTGTATAGTAAATAGTAGTTGCAGTTTTGTATAATATATTTTAAATTAGAAAGAAGTTAGTTTGTATTATTATTATTATTATTATTATTATTATTATTATTATTATTATTATTATTATTATTATTATTATTATTATTATTATTATTATTATTATTATTATTATTATTATTATTATTATTATTATTATTATTATTATTATTATTATTATTATTATTATTATTATTATTATTATTATTATTATTATTATTATTATTATTATTATTATTATTATTATTATTATTATTATTATTATTATTATTATTATTATTATTATTATTATTATTATTATTATTATTATTATTATTATTATTATTATTATTATTATTATTATTATTATTATTATTATTATTATTATTATTATTATTATTATTATTATTATTATTATTATTATTATTATTATTATTATTATTATTATTATTATTATTATTATTATTATTATTATTATTATTATTATTATTATTATTATTATTATTATTATTATTATTATTATTATTATTATTATTATTATTATTATTATTATTATTATTATTATTATTATTATTATTATTATTATTATTATTATTATTATTATTATTATTATTATTATTATTATTATTATTATTATTATTATTATTATTATTATTATTATTATTATTATTATTATTATTATTATTATTATTATTATTATTATTATTATTATTATTATTATTATTATTATTATTATTATTATTATTATTATTATTATTATTATTATTATTATTATTATTATTATTATTATTATTATTATTATTATTATTATTATTATTATTATTATTATTATTATTATTATTATTATTATTATTATTATTATTATTATTATTATTATTATTATTATTATTATTATTATTATTATTATTATTATTATTATTATTATTATTATTATTATTATTATTATTATTATTATTATTATTATTATTATTATTATTATTATTATTATTATTATTATTATTATTATTATTATTATTATTATTATTATTATTATTATTATTATTATTATTATTATTATTATTATTATTATTATTATTATTATTATTATTATTATTATTATTATTATTATTATTATTATTATTATTATTATTATTATTATTATTATTATTATTATTATTATTATTATTATTATTATTATTATTATTATTATTATTATTATTATTATTATTATTATTATTATTATTATTATTATTATTATTATTATTATTATTATTATTATTATTATTATTATTATTATTATTATTATTATTATTATTATTATTATTATTATTATTATTATTATTATTATTATTATTATTATTATTATTATTATTATTATTATTATTATTATTATTATTATTATTATTATTATTATTATTATTATTATTATTATTATTATTATTATTATTATTATTATTATTATTATTATTATTATTATTATTATTATTATTATTATTATTATTATTATTATTATTATTATTATTATTATTATTATTATTATTATTATTATTATTATTATTATTATTATTATTATTATTATTATTATTATTATTATTATTATTATTATTATTATTATTATTATTATTATTATTATTATTATTATTATTATTATTATTATTATTATTATTATTATTATTATTATTATTATTATTATTATTATTATTATTATTATTATTATTATTATTATTATTATTATTATTATTATTATTATTATTATTATTATTATTATTATTATTATTATTATTATTATTATTATTATTATTATTATTATTATTATTATTATTATTATTATTATTATTATTATTATTATTATTATTATTATTATTATTATTATTATTATTATTATTATTATTATTATTATTATTATTATTATTATTATTATTATTATTATTATTATTATTATTATTATTATTATTATTATTATTATTATTATTATTATTATTATTATTATTATTATTATTATTATTATTATTATTATTATTATTATTATTATTATTATTATTATTATTATTATTATTATTATTATTATTATTATTATTATTATTATTATTATTATTATTATTATTATTATTATTATTATTATTATTATTATTAAAAACAGCAGAATGTAGTAGAGAGTGTCCAAAGACAGTAACTACTCATATGGCTCGCAAACGAGTTTCGCGACCAAGCACATGGAAACGAGCGGTGCAGAATGAGGAACGGTAAATTTTAATAGTTTTAAGCCTAGATTATCAACATTCCTCTTTAGTACAGTGATTCCCAAAATTTACATTGTTTTTATTTTTTAAATTTTATCAAAACAAACAATATTTTTTTATTTGAAAAACAATTTATTTGAAAAACTTTATGACGTGCAGGACCTAGACATAGATTAGATTAGATTTAATTAGGACTGTGGGCCATGTGGCCTCCCCCACCTCGACCTTTTCAGATCTATTGTGGATATCCTTTAATCATTGTTTAGAGTACCTTGTCTAATGCGGTCTTTTGTAGTAAACTCCATAGACTGGAAAGTAGTTCTCCGGTATAGCTAGTTGCCCTTGGTTTTTCTTCTCCGAGTGTAAGGAATCTCAGTCTTACTAGACCTTCGCAGTAGCACAATACGTGTTCTGCCGTTTCCTCTTCTTCTTGACAGAATCGGCACAAGGCCTCTTCTGTCAGACCGATATTGACCTAGACATAGACACGATGCAAGAGCCGACAACGGAACTGGCTTGATGTTAAATGACAAGGACACGTCAATTTTACGTTTTTTTGGCAATCTGGGGTTTTGATTAGGACAAAAAGTTATAGATGACTTTTTTCTTTAGATACAAAGCTCGAGGCTTACCTTCATATCCAAGTTTGCATCATGCTACAAAATCGTATTCGCTCATGGTAGGGGAAGCAAAAGGCATACTAACGCTAGCTGCGGATAATTCGTACATTTTAAGGCGATATTTTGTCATCTTGGCATATCAACTACATAAATTTTATATTTTTTTTAAAAAAATAGGTTAAAATAATATTAAGCAACCGGAGCTGCTGTGTTGTTAATTGTAAAAATACCGCCAAAAAGAAACAGTGTAAATTATAAAAATTTTCAGTTGTAAAGTGGAAATTAAATCAAAAATAAATGGATAGCTCTACAATAAGAAAAAAATTACCTTGATTTTTGTAATATTAACAGTAATACTGGAAATAGCAGTAGACATCAGAAACTTCAAAGATTTTAAATAAACAATAAATTATCATTATACGATGTTCTTCAAGATCCCTTTAATCTTAAATGTTCAACTAGAACTAGATTTCTGCCTTTGATTATTGTATGTGGCTGGAAGGCAGTTTTGTGACTTACTGACAGAAAATCAGTTTTAATCATTTATTCTATGATTTATTTTAAACAAAAACATAAAAATAAATCCTTCTGTTTATACAGTTTAACTTCACGCTATTATTTAATGGTATTTTTTTTATTTTGACAGAATAGGTTAATTTTTTAAAGACAACTTATTAGCCTTAGGCAACTTCTCATACATTTTCCCATAAATACTGTTGCCTGCCTATATTTTATTATTGATTTTTATTAATTATACCTAGTTTTCTTTTAGTTTAAGCGATATAAATATTTTCCATACAATATAAAGGGTGTATCTTATAGTGGTACCCGATGTTTTTTTCAAATAACTTGACAACTAGGTGACAGATCGCCATGTTTGTTATTGTTTTAGAAACGTCAGTCCAGTACAATATTAACAAGTGGTTCATTGTTAATATTGTACTGGACTGACTTACACCACAACAACTTGCTAAAATTGTAATATTTTTTTTTTAAATCTCCTATTGTGTGCTATGTTCCCGAATC